TCCCTGGGCGCCTGCATAATTCTCCTTGGGCTGCGCTAATTAAATAGCCGTGACCCCCCAAAAATGCACTTTGTAGGCTGTGACGTCAGCCTCTGTACTCCCGCGCGCAGCCCAGCTTGGCGGCGTTTTTTTTCTCCTGTGAAAGTTGACCACTGGTGCCGGATTGTGTGCCGGCTGTATCCTCGCTTTGTGCGCTTTGTATGGAGGTGCATATACCTTCTGTGTACAGAAGAGGTAGATTTCCTTGCATGTGGTTAAGGTTGTACGAAGTTGCTCAGATATGCCAGTCTTTCAGTAGATGTCATCTTCGATAATTCGTTTCGGTGGCGAGGACTACAGTTTGAGAAAAGTTTGTTCTGCAGCCTGCGTCCTCGGAATGCGCCGCTGAGTTTTTCCACTTAGAGGTTTCGTTCCCTGGCAAATTTGCGCATGTCGTGTTGGTGTTGCCGTTGCTGTCGAACTGCTTACCTTCACAGAAGGAGACGTGCTTTTCGTAGGAACCCAAAGCCGACACGTGCGGTCCGCACAGACGGATAACTTCTCCAGCGGCAATGCACAAGGAAAGCATCTGGAATCAATAAAGGAGCTGCTATGGTGTGAAAGACGAAAAAAAAAGACCCGAAGAAACGCGAGGGTGAAGTGCAAAGCTGTACAAATAGGGAAGGTGTGCGTGCGGGGGAGGGAGCACTGAGGTGTTCTGGTAAAATGGTAGGTTTGAAGAAAGGAAGAAGAGGGAAGCAATGTCAGGAAAGTTGCAGTGTAACTTCGGCAGCTGGTGGTCGCTGTGAAGGCGTGTAAATACTTTAGTATCAACCAAAAAGCAAAAGAATCAAAAAATTTTGGGGGGGGTCAGAACCCCCTCAACCCCCCATCCCTAGTTACGGGCCTGCGTGACCGGTAGTCTTCAGCCACCACTACTTATAATCTTTAAAATACTTGGGTTGTAAATGACGGCTACTGCGCCGTCCCCTCTCGAAGAGAGCGGCCAGGAGCCGTGTTTGCCTTTCAAGTGCCGCCAAATGAAGTGGGGGGGGGGGGGGGAGAGGGGACGCTTAAGCCCCTAATAGGGGCTACTTCTACGTTTCGAAAATCTCTTTTCCTTTGTTATGGCCACTTTAAACGGGCGGCACAAACGACCTTCAGAGCATCATTTGTCATCTTCTCTGTCGGCTCACGGAAAGAGTGAAAGCACCGGTCCTCGACGGAAGAAGAAATGCCAGGCAGCGGGCAGACTCACCCTACCAGCCCGAGCAACATCACCGCTTTTTTACGGCGACTTACTGAGTGCTCGTGAATGTTTGTTAAAATGTAACCCCAATTCCTGTTAATTAAAGTTATCTTGTTTAAATGTTCACAAGTGTTCGACCGTTAACTGGCTGGATAGCGGACGCTTTGACCCGTCAAATGCGAGCTGCGAGACCAGCATAGTAAAAAAGCGCTTCAACTGCCATCGGCCACCAACTCAACGTCCGCCGGCAAAGGGATACGTCGCCACGGCAAGACCCCCGGTTGAACCCAGACGCACACCCATTGCAAGGATTTCATGGCCAAGGAGTTGAGCAGCTGACAGCAGAAGGGCAGCAACAAGGTGGGCTCATTTCATCTCTCAACGCTCAACGCGCAGCTTAGTACCATTTGTTTCACATACGTCCGCTCCGAGACAAAACGTGCAAGCAAGAATGGACCAGGACGAGCTGACGCATGAGTGTCCAAATGTCACACCACAAGATGAAGCTTCCGCATCAAACGTTTTGCCGCAAAGAAAAACAACCCTATCGACGAGGGCTAAAGAAATTTACCAAACGAGCCGCGAAGAGCACTGCCGTAAACTAGATTCTGTTTGGAAAAACAGAGCGCTCTTCAGGCACTGTCACGCGCTAAGGGAGAACAGTTTACCGACGCCAAAACGCAGCTTCGTGCAAGTTATGAGTGCTACGAACTTGCTATCGCAAGATACTCAGCCTTTCTCGAGAAGGCGAAGACGTCTGAAGCCAGGCACGAATTACAGCTCCAAAAGGCAATCGATGAAGACCGTGAGGCGATCGTGAGCGAAAAGTTACGAGAGGCTACGCCACAAGAACGCGACAAGGCACATGAAACAGCATCGCAGTTCTCTCTATCGGTTCAGTCAAGAGCTTCCTCGCGATCACGACGATTGGGCTCCTCCACGATTAGCCTGGCTGCTGTGCAGGCCCGCGCGCAAGCAGAGGCCGTCAAAGCAAGAGCTCAGTTTGGTCGTAAAGAGGCCGCAATGCGCTTAGAGAAGGCAAGAATCGAGGCTGAGCTTGAGGTACTACAACATGAAAAAGAGGCAGCTGCTGCAGACGTGCAGGCAAGTGCATTCGACGTAGCTGTGGAACAGGATGGCGGGGAGTGTGTGCGCCCACACCCACTTTTAAACCGGACACTACGGGTTTCGAGCTACATCACTGAGCAAGCCGCCATACGTGATGCTGAGCTTGCGTCTCTTCGGGCGCCTTTTGTTCATCCCAGAAGCCAGAGCTTGGAGCATGCTGAAGTAGCCAACCACCTCACGGACTTGCGTGACTATCATCAGCCGCCTGCGTACAGGCCAGCACCTAACAGTTCCAGTTCAGAGCTTGCCGGCGTTCTTAAATTCCTGTGCCGCAAGGACCTTGTCTCTACAGAACTTACGAAGTTTAATGATCGACCTGAGAACTTTCGAGCTTGGAAGTCATCTTTCAAAGGTGCCATCAGAGATGTAGGCCTTTCTGCGCAGGAAGAGCTCGACCTTCTAATCAAATGGCTTGGTCATGAGTCATCGCGTCAAGTTCGAAGGTTGAAATCTGTTCATGTAGATGACTTCTCGAAGGGCTTAGACATCGTGTGGAAACGGCTCGACGACACCTTCGGACGTCCTGAGGCAATTGAGGATGCGCTGCTGAAGAGGTTGGAGGAATTCCTAAGAATATCGTACCGGGGTAATGCCAAATTGCAAGAGCTCGGAGACCTCCTGCTGGAACCCGAAGCTGCCAAATCTGATCTCTACCTCGCCGGTCTTAACTATTTGGATAGCGCAAGAGGAATAAACAAAATTGTTTCCAAGTTACCATCTGGACTTCAAGAAAATTGGATGTCAGTGGTGACTAAATACAAAAAAAGAACAACACTGCGGTCCCACCCTTTGCGGTTTTTTCAAAGTTCGTTCAAGAGCAGGCAAGCAGGAGGAACGATCCCAGCTTCATCCTGCAACCACAATATGTCTCGCCTTCGATCACACAGCAAAAAGAAGGAACGGCCACCAAGACCCCACTGCACAAGTCGTCTGTGTCGGCAAGGAAAACAAACGTAGATCACGCCTTCGAGCAGGTTCAGGAAACCCCTCCAAAGCAGCTACTTAAATCGAAGAGCTTCGAAAAATGGTGCCCGCATCACAAGAAGCCTCATCCTCTTGCAAGGTGTCACGTTTTCCATGAAAGAACACTGGAAGAGCGGATGACCTTTCTTAAAGCACACGGAGTATGTCTACGATGTTGTTTATCCTCAAACCACACGCAGTGGCAATGCAAGGTGGTCGTAAAATGCTACATATGCAGCAGCGGTAATCATGCGACAGCGCTTCATCCATTAACTACGTGCTCAGAGTCACCGAAGCCTATGAAACGCGATAACAGTTCTGCTCACAATTTGGATGAAAGAGTCACATCTACGCGTACCGAGGTGGCAAACGTGAACGACAACCACAGATCGTGCGCTAAAATCTGCCTTGTGGATGTGACTCATCAACCACAGCCTGACAAGATATTAAGAGCATACGCGATACTCGATGAACAGAGTAATCGTTCGTTGGTTCGGCCAGAAATTCTCGACGAGTTCAGTGTGGAGGGCACACCTACCCAGTACACATTACGCACTTGTTCCGGCAGTACTGAGGTTGTTGGTAGGATCGCAAACGGCTTCTTTGTGCGGAGCGTATCGGGCAATGTCAAGCTCTCCCTTCCGCCTCTTCTTGAGTGCGATGAAATTCCGGATAACAGGGAAGAAATTCCAACGCCAGACGCAGCACGGAACTACCCGCACTTGAAGGCCATTGCCGCTCACATTCCACCTCTCGAAGAGGCAAGAATACTGCTCCTCCTCGGCCGAGACAATCTCAGAGTCCACAAAGTTCGTCAGACCATTAACGCGCCGCTTGACGCTCCTTATGCACAGAGGCTCGATCTCGGATGGGTCATTGTCGGAAACGTCTGCCTGGGTCGTACGCGAAAAACAGGCACGATAAATGTGTTAAAAACACACATTTTGGGCAACGAAAGACCATCCCTTTTCACCCCATGTACAAAACATTTCATGGTGATGGAAGCGCTGGTTCTCTACACTGCGGATAGGCATCAGGTTAAGAATGATTTCTCATCAACAACAGCATCAGATGACACCTTGGCACCTAACATGTTCGAGACAACGCGAGAAGACAACGAGCGTTCCCTGTCTATAGAAGATAGAGCCTTCCTCAATATCATGGAAAGGGAATTATACAAAGACAGGTCAAACAACTGGGTAGCCCCTCTACCTTTCCGCTCACCAAGAAGACGGCTTCCGAATAACCGAAAGCAGGCTCTCTCTCGCCTGAACTCGCTGCGGCGCACGTTGCGGAAAAACTCTGAGACAAAAGGGCGCTTCGTGCACTTCATGAAAGAACTGTTCGTCAGGGGTCATGCAGAGGAAACTACACCACTTAACATCAACGAAGAAGGCTGGTACCTACCCATATTCAGCGTTCACCATCCCCAAAAACCCGATCAAATCCGCGTGGTGTTTGACTCCAGCGCTCAGCACGAAGGAGTGTCTCTGAATGGTGTCCTTCTCACCGGACCTGACCTGACAAACAATCTTGTGGGAATAATGATACGCTCCCGGCAGGATTCAGTGGCGATAACTGCCGACATTGAGCAGATGTTTTAAATTTCGTCGTTCGTGAAGATCATCAGAACTACCTAAGGTTCCTCTGGTTTAAGGAAAATGACATCTCCCGAGAAATCATGAAGTGCCGAATGAAGGTGCACGTTTTCGGCAACAGTCCCTCACCCGCGGTCTCTACATATGGGCTTCGGCGAACTGCTCAAGAGGCTGTTCAACAATTCGGTGAAGATGCAAGGGGGTTCGTCCAGCGAGACTTCTACGTCGATGATGCACTCAAGTCTCTTTCGTGTGAGGAAGACGCCATCAGTTTGTTGCAGAGAATGCAAAAAATGCTTTGTACAGCTAACATAACGCTGCACAAGATTGCCTCAAACAGGCAGAATGTGCTGAATGCATTTTCTCCACAAGACCGTGCGCAGGGACTGAAAAGTCTTGACTTGAACAAAGACACATCAAATATGCAGAGAAGCCTCGGTCTACTTTGGGATGTAGACAACGACACCTTCGTCTTCAGAGCTCCTCTTCAAGACCAGCCCTATACACGGCGAGGGGTGCTGTCGACCGTCAACAGTCTGTTTGACCCACTGGGGTTCGTGGCACCTGTAACGGTTCAGGGAAAGCACCTGCTCCGTGACCTCGTGACGGAAGGTTATGACTGGGACACGCCACTTTCGGATGCAAATAAACAAAGTTGGGATGAATGGAAGAATTCTCTACAAGCACTTAATTGCCTACGTGTGCGGAGAACGTATGTACCGCACTCAACTTCTGAAGCTGCCACTAGAGAAATTCACGTGTTCTCAGATGCGTCCACGAGTGCCATCGCCGCGGTAGCGTACTTACGGGTAATCGACAAGCAAGGAAACAAACATGTCGGATTTGTCATGGGAAAGGCGAAGCTCGCGCCGAAACCAGACCACACAATCCCAAGGCTGGAGTTGTGTGCAGCGGTCCTTGCTGCAGAAATGGCCGATGCCATACTACGGGAGTTAGACTTCCAGCCGAGTTCTGTCACATTTTACACAGACAGCAAGGTAGTTCTGGGATACATACACAATAAAACGCGAAGATTCTATGTGTACGTAGCTAACAGAGTTCAGCGCATACGTGCCAGCACACGACCGGGTCAGTGGAAGTACGTGTGTACGGAAGAAAATCCAGCAGACCACGCCACCAGACCAATTCCAGCAGCGCAGCTCGAGAAGACGAACTGGTTTTCAGGACCCGACTTTCTCACTCAACCTCAAGGGGAAGCATCATCATCATGTTTCAAGCTTATAGACCCTAATGAAGACGAAGAGGTACGTCCTGAGGTCCGCACCTTCGTGACGAAAACAAACCAGCGACAGCAACTAGGAGCTGAAAGTTTTGGAGATGGAGCTCACTCACACGAGCTGTGGCTGGCATAGTCCGGGTTGCCCGTCGCACCAAGAGTTCGCCACCAGAAGAAATGGATCTCGTGGAGCTGCTCTATCGAGCTAAGGTCATCATTATTCACTCTGTGCAGCAGGACGTATACTCAGAAGAGCTGCGTTGTATCCAGAGAGGAGAGCAAGTTCATAAGACAAGATCGCTTCGAAAGCTTGTTCCAATTTTGGATGCCCAGGGGCTGATCCGTGTCGGTGGCCGCTTGAACAAAAGTGACCTTCCAGATGAAGAGAAAAACCCTTTAATAATACCTGGCCGACACCATGTCGCGAAACTCCTAGTGCGCCACCACCATGGCTGTGTGCAACATCAAGGTCGACACATCACAGAGGGAGCTCCAAGAGCTGCTGGATATTGGATTGTTGGAAGCAAAGGTGCATCTCCTCTGAGTTGGAGGCCTGTATTTCGTGCAAGAAGCTATGAGGACGCCTTCACGATCAGAAGATTGCTGACCTTCCGGCCGACCGAATCAGCACGGAGCCCCCTTTTACAAACGTGGGAATCGATGTTTTTGGCCCTTGGTTGATTACCTCCCGCCGAACGAGAGGTGCTATTGCCAACAGCAAGCGCTGGGCAGTAATGTTCACATGCTTAAGCATTCGCGCAGTGCACATTGAACTCATCGAATCAATGGACACGTCTAGCTTCATAAATGCTTTTTGAAGGTTCATGTCCGTAAGAGGACCTGGGAAGCTTGCACGCTCCGACTGTGGGACGAATTTTGTCAGTGCATGTAGAGAACTTGGCATTGGCGCTGAGAGCTTCAATAGCTCACATTTTGGCAGGTTCCTAGCGAACACCGGCTGTAAATGAATATTCAATCCACCGCACGCGTCCCACATGGGCGGCGCATGGGAGAGGATGATCGGTATAGCACGCCGTATTCTTGATTCCATGCTTATGCAATCACGCCATCAACGACTTACTCACGACATTCTTGCCACCTTCCTAGCAGAAGTCGCAGCCATCATGAATGCCAGACCTATAACTCCGATTTCCTCGGACCCCGAAGATTCAACCATCCTCACTTCGGCGACGCTACTGACACAGAAAAGATGCGCATCCTCATCAGCTGGAGAAATAGATACAACTAACCTGTACAAGCGACACTGGCATCAAGTCCAGAACATGGCTAACCAATTCTGGAAACGCTGGCGTTCAACGTATCTCGCTACTCTGCAGGAACGTCGAAAATGGCAAGTGAGGAAAAAGGATATAAAAGAAGGCGACGTCGTGCTCATCAGGGACAAGGAAGCAAATCGCAACGACTGGCCCATCGGCGTTGTCACCCAAAGCCTGCCCAGTGCGGACGGAATGGTGCGCAAGGTGGAGGTAAAGATTGCAAGGAATGGTGCAATAAGGAAACTCTGCCGACCGATACCGGAAGTGGTGCCCTTGTTTTCGCCATCAACAAACTGCGGCGTCTAACAAGCAGACACCAGACGGGGAGTGTGCCGTCCCCTCTCGAAGAGAGCGGCCAGGAGCCGTGCTTGCCTTTCAAGTGCCGCCAAATGAAGTCGGGGGGATTCGCTCGCAGGATTTCAAGCTGGACGGTTGTGCCCTCGCGATCTCCGATGCCAGCGTAGCTCCCGCCGACTGGTTCGCCCTCCGCGGTCTTCTGACGCCGTGCAGCTCTCGCATTGTGGCGCCCCGCCCTTGGACTGCTTCGACCGGATCCCCGCTTTCCTATCTCCTTTTTTTCCGTCGCTTGCCTGTCTACTTCTTCGTCTATTTTCCTTCTATTCTTTTTATCCCTCCTTCCCCCCACCCCTATAAGGCACTGCGCTGTGTCGCCTGAAGGCATACAGAAATTAGGTGCCTTTTTTTCCTCTTTCTTCTAACCACTACCACCACCACCACGCTTAAGCCCCAAATAGGGGCTACTACTACGTTTTGAAAATCTCCTTTCCTTTGTTATGGCCACTTTAAACGGGCGCCGCAAATGACCTTCAGAGCGTCATTTGTCATCTTCTCTGTCGGCTCACGGAGAGAGTGAAAGCACCGGTCGTCGACGGAAGAAGAAATGCCAGGCGGCGGGCAGACTCACCCTACCAGCCCGAGCAACAGCACCGCTTTTTTACGGCGACTTACTGAGTGCTCGTGAATGTTTGTTAAACTGTAACCCCAATTCCTGTTAACTAAAGTTATTTTGTTTAAATGTTCACAAGTGTTCGACCGTTAACTGGCTGGATAGCGGACGCTTTGACCCGTCAAATGCGAGCTGCGAGACCAGCATAGCTACATATTAGAGTATAGTACGAGGATTTGTAAGGAAACGAATTGTTCTGCCTGATTACTACTGCCGCGCTCCCCCGAACTCCTGCGGAAGCTGAAATTTCACGGAGCTACAGCCATGCAGTGCATTAAGGCAATAGCTTTAAATGCCCTATCAAAAGCGAAAATTGATTGCACGCGGCACACGGCGTCTTCTCGCGTAGGCGGTGTGAACACGAGTGATGCAATAAATTAACATTACATGAAAACGTCATCATATGATTTGACATATCGTAAATGTTTGTGACGTATCGGAACGGCACACAACTTGACGGCATCATATAACATCTTGGCTTGGTTGAAATGGGCCAATAATCATCGTGGGAGTGCATAACCAGCTGAAGGGCAGAAAGCTAGCTGTATGCATAGACACCTATTTAAAAAGTCTCGTTACTTTTTAAAAGACGAGATATCTTCCGAGCTATTTTCTCACCACAAGGCGAGATGGCAACAAGTTTTACAAAGCTAAACTCGCTAAATTGCTAAATTTGACGCTAAATTTGACGCGTATTGTTATAGACCATAACAAATCTCGCGCTAAACAACTGTTTCAGAAAGAAACGTTTCTGCTTTCGCAGATATCCCCACCGGAGTTTGATCAATTAGTAGCTTACCAGCGAAATAAGGTTGCGAAACTAAATGCTATCAAACAAAAGAAGTACATGCGTGACAACTTGCTCCCCTCCTCAAGCCGTGATATTCGAGCAAATCCAGCCGATAAAAGAGAAGAATTGCCATACAATGTGATAAATATTTCTTCGGCAAAGCTTTCCGTCGCGCAAATAGGTTGTTTATCGAAGGGCCTTAGTTTTTGTCCAGCAAACGGTGGGTTCAATGAGTTTCAGCCCATTAAGGACTTTCACAACTTCCCCCAAAATATTCGCCTTGAAGAATATTTCTACGATCGCTCTAGTGACCACTGAAGTGGGATGCTACTTCCTCAGCAGAGATACTGGACACCACCACCGCAACGTGATAGGTGCTTAGGCCTATATATTAAGGCTGTACAACAAGATGTCATAAATTCTTACAAAACTCATGCTCTCCATCGACATAACCTATCAACAAAAGAAAAAAGGGCACTCGAAGCGCTAGCAAATAACCCTGACATCACAATAAAGCCGGCAGACAAAGGTGGCGCGAGTGTCATTCTTAATCACTGTGACTTATATAAGTGAAGTTGAGAGGCAGCTCTCAGATCGAAACTTCTACAGAGCACTCCCTACCAATCCTACAAACGACTACAAGATCGAGTTGCAGCACGAACTCGCACGACTTGTAAAAAATGAAAAGATCAATAAAACGATAGCCCGGTCACTCGTTCCACTCAGCCCCATGGCAGGTAGATTTTATCTCCTGCCCAAGATACTGCCACGCGTTCCATTTCCCAAGTTTTGTTATCCTCCCAAAACACTACACAATTCTCAGCGCAAACCACGCCTGCAGTTTTTCGAGAAGCTTCCGGACTGTAGCAGATCATTTCGATAAGATCAAGCCCGCTCTGCGAACGGTACAGATTATTCTGGACCCTACGCCACCGCCAGCGATAACGCTAGAACATTCGGCGGCAAGAGTATAAATGCCGACGCGCTTCGCCGATTATCAGTAGTTGATCGACGGCCGACGCTCCGTTCGCCGATCTAGCTGTCTCTTCTCGAGTCCTCGCGTGAGACCTGGGGTCACGTCACGCTGACGTCGACCCCAGGGGTTCAAGTCGACAAAAGAAGTCTACGCGGCACCGGCGTCTTGTACACGCGACCGCCGCCCCTGGGTTTCGGGCCTTGCTGCCTGGAGCCCGCCTACCCCATGCCAGGAGGAGGTGGAAGGTCCCCGGTTCACGCTCGCCGTCCCGGAGTCCCCCTGTGGTGCACCTGGTACCACCAAGACCTGCGCGGCACCCGCCTCGGCTGAGCCGCTTCCTACCAGAGTGCAGTTCCACTGCACGTTACAAGTCACCCACGAGCCACGCCCGACCGGCGGCTTGCGGGGTTCGCCCACCAGAATGGCCACGCAATTTGAACTACCGGTGAGGGAGAATTGTTTCATGTTTTCCGCGCCCGAGGGCGATATCTCTGTCGATGAGTCAATTGACGCAATTGAAGAGACAGCTGGTGACGACAGCGTATTAGTACTGCAACATATGAAGGGCGCAAAATTTCTTGTATGCAACTGCAATACTGGTCAGGCGACGAAGCAAATATGGCGGAAGGATTTGAGGTGAACGGGGCGAGGGTGCCAGTAGAGGCAGTTGGGCCGCCGGTTACATATGTGAACGTTAACCGTTACCCCGCGTTTCTGTCAGACGAGGCCCTTAGCAACGCCTTAGCCCAGTTTGGCAAGTGAAGGGCATTTCGTTCGCCACCCTAGCCACTTGCTAGACCAAGTTAAACGAGGTACGTGTGGTTAAAATTGAGATGTGCCGCCCAGTCCCCAACTTCATCACTATTGCGGGGCACAAAGTCATGTGCGAGTACAGTGGCATGCGCCGGGTGTGCGCGCGTTGTGGTGAAGTCGGGCATATGGTGACTGCGTGCACCGCGGCGTACTGTAAGCGGTGCGGCACCTTCGGCCACGATACTGAGGGCTGCTGGGCAGACTGTAAACGTTGCGGTGGTCACCACGGAACACGCGAGTGCTTTCGTAAGTGCTCATACGCTTCGGCCGGCCGCGGCTTCCCTTCGCTATCTGAATCCGCCTCGTCGCACTC